AGAGAGGTACAAAACTTTGACCCTGCCCTCAAGTGTTTGGAGACTCACTGGGGAGACGAGTTAATGAAAATCCAGGCAAATGTTTGTTAAATGGAGCCCTTTGGTGGTGCAAAAGGTTAAGTACTTGGCTGCTAACCGAATGGTTGGTAGTTCACATCCACCCAGAGGGTGCCTCAGAGGAAAGGCCTGGTGATTTACTTCTGAAAAATCAGCCATTGGAAACCCCATGGAGCACAGTTCTACGATGATACACATGGGTTTGCCATGAGTTGGAACTGACTTGAGTTCAACTTTTTTTGTTTTATTGGTTAAATACTCAATAAAAGGCTAAATGTGTGCCTTCTCTTCCTCAAACTCTCTACTCTTCCTGCCTGTCCCATTTAGGGGATGGTGCCTTTATTCTCCTAGTCACTTAAACTTTAAAGCTTGGGTGGTACATCATTCTCTCTTACCCCTGACATGCCTGTGTTCAGACAGGAACCAGGCTCTGCTCATTTCACCTTCAAAATAGCAGGTTGTCCCTTGTTTCAAGAGCTATGGGACCGTATGGAGGCAAAGAGCCTGGGTTCTAGAGTCCAGCTGCCTGGGTTCACGTTTTGGTTTGGCTTTTTTTTTTTTTTTTAACCCATGGATAGGATGTTTGTTTTGATATTGTATTGTGGAGTTGATAACATTTCTAGAACTAAAATACATGCCAATAATAGCACAAAAGACAGGGAGTTGGCTTTGCTTCTTGAGGCTTCAGTTTTATCTTCTGTAGCATGGGGGACAGTAACAGAGCCCATGTTGTAGGGTTGTTGGAGAGTGTGCTTGGTGCATGGGGGCCTCAGCAAATGTGAACTCGGATTAGCATCATCATCAGAGCAGCTTAGCCCTGACTGTAGCCTCCACTTTCTCCTTTGCTAGGTTCTTCCTGCTCTGAAACACTGCGGAGAAGGGTGGAGGAGAGGCTAGTACGAATTACCAGGCCAGGGGCTGGAAGGGGCCCTGAGACCCCACCGTGTTAAGTATCAGTCCTGTCTGCCCTAGCTGCAGGGTCTGGTTCATCTTATTTTCAAACCTTCCCACTCTTGGTGTGTCTGACTGCTGACAGATTAATTCCAGGTTGGAAGAGGTACTTCCCCTGCTACTTACAGCATCAGCGGCTTCCACTGCCTACCAAATACATTCTAAACCATTAATGCCGGCACTCCAGGCCTTCCCAAACTGATGCCAAAATAACCACGTTTTCTTCTCATCTCTTGCAAGTCCCTACACATGTCCTCTTCTACTTCCAAAGAGGGCCCCTCTGCTCCTCAACACCCATCACAGTCCTTCCTTCGCTCCCTTGCTCACAGCATTCCCTCTCCTAGACTGTCCTCTCCTGCCCACATCTTTAAGAATCCTACCCATCCTTCAAAGTCCAAGTCAGTGCCCTTCCTCCAGGAAGCCTTCTATGATTTCCCCAATCAGAAATGCCTCTTTCTCTGGACAGTCTGAGTTTCTCTCCTGTGACGTAGTACGCACCTCTGTGGAAGGCAGGATTCTAAGAGAGCCCCCAAAACTTCCACCCCATGGTGTGCACACCCTGTATAATCCCCTCCACTTGAG